AAGCTTCGTTGTGCCGAGGATGCAATCAAATTCCTCAAAGGATTACCCAATGGCTCGGAATTGCCCGCCCCCAGCGCATCCGCAAACCACAAACGCGACAACCTTGAGCACTTGGGATTTGGTAACACAGATGAAGATAGAGAAAAGCACCATGCGAGACTCAAGTCGCCGTTTGTTAGTGCGATACTCACCGGAAGAGTTGAGATGCTGGCGTTTCTTCTCAAAAAGGGCGAGCCTTTGACTCCTTATACCATTCGAGCAGCAGCAAGATGGGGATGTCCTGGGATGCTAGAAAAGATCATGACACTCCGAAGAGATGAAATTTCACGCGATCAAGATCTTTCCTGCTCCACGGCAGAATGTGCTAGCGCTGAGATGATGGATCTTATTTTCGATCATCCCGATTTCAAATGGAGCGACGCAGCAATGATCGGAGCGATAAGGAATCATCGGCATGGACTCCAAATACTGACGTTACTATTTGAACTCCACGGGGATGACATCGAACTGGACGAGTGGATGTTGGAGAGTATTGCGAGCATATGCCACCCCAGGACCATGGATTACTTGCTCACACAGCATGGAACACGAATTGCAATCACACCGGCCGTTGCCGAGAAGGCTATCGAGAACCGTCAGGGCCCAGCCATGCTTAGAGTTCTTCTTAAACACCGGGCACATGAGGGCTTTGTCGATGAGAAGCTCATGACACTGGCTCTTGCCAACACCCGATGCCGACCTGACTTTATGGCCATCTTTCTCGAAATGCCAGCAGCCCAAGTTCGATTCACGAAACAAGTCGTCCTAGCAGCGATAGCTTCACCACAGAAAGACATCGACGACTGGGCCCCTGAAGTTCTCGAGATGCTTCTTGCCAATCGTGCTGCCGACGTTGACGTCGACGAGGAGATTGCCATTGAGACATTACGGGAGCTTGGATTCCCTGGCTTGCAAGTTCTCTTCGAGCACAAAGATGAGAGCGTACGGATCACACAGCCACTCTTGGACGCTGCAGTGGGCGTTTGCTCAGCAAGGGAGTTTGTTGTATTGGCGGAGAGAGCTGAGGATGAGTTCAAGATCACACAGGATATGCTTATCAACACGACATCCAACGCGCGACATGGCGATAGATTGCTGCCAGTGATGTTGAGATATCTCAAGGATTCTCTTACCATCGGACAAGATGCTATTGAAGCATTCTTGAAGGCTGGGCAGATTGGCTTCAAGGGCTTGCTTATCCTCTTACTAAGAGACCGTGGCTGCAGTGTCAACCTTACAAGAGGCGCACTCCGTTCTTGGATCCGAGATGACCAAGTCTGCCGTGGGAGCTTAGCATTCCTTTTTGTTGCACTTCATTCTGGATGGTGCAAGTTGTCGGATGAGATGACGGGCTCCAGGCTGGAGAGACTGGAGGAACTGATCAAGCATTATGCCGAGTTGGATGATGTGCGGCAAGTATTTGCTGAGGCGATGGAACGTTCCAAGAAGGAGATGCGAGGAGCTTGAGTATTATGGGTTCATGTTACTAACGAAGTTATGATGACGACTTTTATGATGGGTCAAGGCTCAACCGGGTGGTTGTAGCTATATATAATAAAGGTTAGGGACAAGGGCATTTATCATAGGGACATTATTTATTTATATTTAATAAGGGGGGAGACAGTTTCTGGTTACAAATTGGTGCAATTCCGCTTACATTTCGTTCTTGTGAGTGCCTAGACGGTGAGAATGTATTCGTCTGACGATCAGGCACAGGGCATGATAGAGGATCCGAGCTAAGTTAGAGCTGTGTAACTCCGGAGTGCTAATGCTAAGGTAGTGTTAGTTTCAATGGGTGCTACGCTGTAAGTTAAGCTATCAGGAACACTAACATAAATATCTCACTGCAAACGCGTGAGCAGGCCAGGGGCATCATACGAATACTACGTGCATGCCACACTCATCATAGATCATCAACCTCTGACGAATCTTCCACGACAACGGCATAAGAGGAAGTGTTCCAGACCCCGGTAAAGAGTAACAGCATGTTTTGTTGTTTGTTCCTGATACGCTTGAACTTGGCGCTGATAAGATGAGACAGGCATGATGCCTAAGGCGGAAAGGCTTGGAGCTGGTTGCCGAGCAGGGAAAGTGGATACAAATGGTGCGTCATTGCCAGACAAGCAAGACCAAGTCACAAGGTCATGAGCAGGGTAGTTCTTCACCAAAAGACTAAAGTCCGGAGGCGTAACTTACGAATCCAGGCAGGTGCGAGGTGCGAGGCCCAGACCCACCGCTAGACTTACCTTAACCGCCGAAACAGGCCGCAAGCACGCGCAATAAGCTCCCCCCAGCCAAGCACAGCTCGGACGGTGCTTTCCTCCGCCTCGCTTGCCTTCTTACCTTTCCCGTCGTTATTAACCAACCATCTTATCTCCTCCAACTCCATCTTGCATCTTGCATCTCAACTCACCCATCTGCATCTTCATCTCCATCCCATCGCAGCTCGTAACATTCTTGTCTAGCTCTTCCATCATTCCATTTACTTGGTCGCATTATCGACCCGATTGTCCATCATGAAGGGCGCTCTTCTTACTGCTGCCGCGCTCCTGGGCTCTGCCCAGGCCGGTGTTCACAAGATGAAGCTCAACAAGGTTCCTCTTGCCGACCAGCTCGTATGTTTGATTCCCATGATGATTGCGCGTTCCATCAAAGCTCTCTAACACCATTCCCAGGCTACCAACTCCGTTGAGGACCACCTCCAGAGCCTCGGCCAGAAGTACCTCGGTGCCTCCCGCCCCAAGAATGCTGCCGATTACGCTTTCGCTACCAACACCGTCAACGTCGAGGGTGGCCATCCCGTCCCCGTCTCCAACTTCATGAACGCTCAGTGTAAGTACCAATTAAATCGCCAATCCTACCATCGCTAATCGCCCCAGACTTCTCCGAGATCACCATCGGTACTCCTCCCCAGAGCTTCAAGGTTGTCCTCGACACCGGTAGCTCTAACCTCTGGGTTCCTTCCCAGCAGTGCGGCAGCATCGCCTGCTACCTCCACTCCAAGTACGACTCGTCCGCTTCCTCAACTTACAAGGAGAATGGCACCGAGTTCGAGATCCACTACGGATCTGGCAGCTTGTCTGGTTTCGTATCCAATGATGTTGTCTCCATCGGCGACCTCGAGATCAAGGACCAGGACTTCGCTGAGGCTACTAAGGAGCCCGGCCTGGCTTTCGCCTTCGGCCGCTTCGACGGTATCCTTGGACTCGGCTACGACCGCATTGCCGTAAATGGCATGGTCCCTCCTTTCTACCAGATGGTCAACCAGAAGCTTCTGGATGAGCCCGTCTTTGCTTTCTACCTTGACAACCAGGACGGCGAGAGCGAGGCTACCTTTGGAGGTATCGACAAGTCCAAGTTCACTGGAGATATCGAGTACATTCCCCTCCGCCGCAAGGCTTATTGGGAGGTTGACCTCGAAGCCATTGCTTTCGGCGATGAGGTTGCTGAGCAGGAGAACACTGGTGCCATCCTTGACACCGGTACCTCCCTGAACGTTCTCCCCAGCGCTCTCGCTGAGCTTCTGAACAAGGAGATTGGCGCTAAGAAGGGCTACAACGGCCAGTATACCATTGAGTGCGACAAGCGCGCTTCTCTTCCTGACATCACCTTCAACCTCGCTGGATCCAACTACAGTCTCCCTGCCACCGACTACATCCTCGAGGTTCAGGGCAGCTGTATCTCTACCTTCCAGGGCATGGACTTCCCCGAGCCTGTGGGACCTCTTGTTATTCTCGGTGACGCTTTCCTGCGACGATACTACTCTGTCTACGACCTCGGCAAGAACGCCGTTGGTCTGGCTCGTGCAAAGTAAGATACTTGCCTACGAAACATTTATGTATGAATTACAGATAGCGAATGGAACACGCAGTATGGACATGGCTTTGGATACTGGCATGGGACTAGTTTGAATTGTATGACAGATCATGAGCTTGAGGAAACGAGAAGATGGCTTCTCGTACTTGTTGCTCAGTAATATGAATCCTTATTGACTTTTTGGCTATATGCTCTGATGGTGATTTGATGGTGCTTATGATATGATGAGATCATAGTTTAGCTTTCGGACTGGGGTAATGGATACTTTGATCATGGCCATGATTACGCTAGGCCTGCAGCCACTCTGTGGATGTTAATGAGCTGGCTGTTGAGTAACGAAGATCTCGAGGTGGATGGCACTTTTCTTCATAAGAATGCTGCTGTCCTGTTTGGAGAGAAATCACCCCAAAGCTAGGCATTGTAGGTATTTCATCCACTTTAGAATAAAGAAATATCGTAACTTTCGGGTGATCCAAGATGATCATGTTCTGCAACACTGTATACACCTTGAACCGTTGAACTTCCAGCTGAGTCACGTGCATGAGATGACTCCTGAGGCTTCACCTTCCGCAAAAAGGGACAGAGTGGGTACGAGAATTGGCAAGCGACAAGTAAGGGACGAGGTACAAGGTACTTGGCGATCAAGGAGACACATTCTTCCCCCCCCCCAGGCTCAGGCTGAGCGCAAAGCAAGCAAAGGACAGCCAAAGCTGAGAGAGCCAAAGACAATCAATCATCCTCCCCCCATTTTTCGACTTGAACTATTGCTTTGAGACGTGTTTGTCGCGTAATTTACGACTCGATTACTTCCTGTTACATCGATTGACTGTACGATTGTGTCGTGGGTTTACTCGATGGAATCGAATCGTTTGCGCTTCTCCAACCGCTGTTGAATCGATACCTACTAAAGCTACGGAGTATTGACTTATTATTTACCTGGAGTTGCACCAGCGACTGAGCAGGACCTGGGCCCCCATACCCATAACCCATTTCTGCCATCCACTACCGCTGTCATTCCAGCTCCAACTGCTGCTAACAGGAACCACTGACTGACTGCCACTGCAACTACCGCGTATCGCGACGAGGCGCGGCCAACGCCCCGACGACGGAACCAAAACCATCCAAGGCTCTTTTTTGAAGCCATCATGACCACGCCGACCATGGCCCAGCCCACGGCCATCCACGCCAACGGCACCTCAGAATCTCCCAGCCTCGACAAAGCGCAACCTGTCGCTCCGGGAAAGCGAAAACGCGAGGCGGAAGAAATAGAAGACCGCGATGAAGACAATGCCTCCGAGGAGCAAAAACCTGCCATTACCAATGGACAGCCCAAAAAGGACCAACGCGACGTGATAAAATCTTTCGTTGAAGTTCTGAGCAGGTATGCCTGCTTTTTTTTGTTACCACTTCTTTTTCATCGCATCGCAACTCTGTCGCGAATGACTTCTCCCTCAGATCCACTAACCCATCACCAATAGCTACGACATCGGTCCCTCCATCCTCAAGCGCCCCTTGCCCGAGTCCTCTGATGATGAGCAAGATGAACACCGAGCCAAGCGTCAAAAGTCGACCGATCTAACTACCATCTCCGAGAAGGCTGCCGCGAATGCTTACGAGGATCTTGACCAGGTGGCTAATGACCTGGTCTCTGTACTTCAAGCCGCTCTCAAGGATATCAAGACAAAGCCGGCCGATGATGAAGAGCAAGCGACCAACGAGGAATTGAGAACGCAAATCTCGGACTTTAAGGAAAAGGCCATGCAACTTCTTCGACGAGAAAAAGTTTACCCGAAAACTTCTGCCGACCCTCTTGCAATCGAGGCAAAACTTCCTCCATCTCCTCAGAAGGGAGAGTTGGTACTGTCCCTTGTTGCATATGCACCTCAGGAAAGAAGGCTGTTCTCGAGTCTCCCAATTTCCGATGAAGCCAAACTGCGTGATGTGCCCTTACCCCACGGAATGTCATTAACTCATGTTATGCCGACAACGCCTCATGAGCGAACACAGACTCTTGGAGATTTGTTTTCGTCGCCAAAGAACCTACCGCCTCTGCAGCCACCCAAGCAGCCTAAGACGCAAGCTAAGGGCAACGTGCTGGATTTTTATCGACCAGAACTGACAGATACTTCCAAGTTCCGAAATGCGTCTTACTTCACAACCCAATTGACTGCTGGATGTTACCTCGACTACAGTAACGCGACTCCTTCGTCGCAAACCATCACCAAGCAACGAGAACGTGCGCAAAGTCTAGCGGGAAAGCGACCCTCAACCACTGAACTTGAACTGCACGAGATGGAATCGCTTTTCCGAGGCGCCTTTTCTAGCTTCGCACCGTGCAAGGATGATTCAGGAGCGGTTGTGCCGTCGAGTGTTGCGGGTCGTATGTGGTGGCAGCAATCGGGCCACCGATCTTTCCAGAACATGATTGAGGTCGAATATTATGGTGGTGCCGACAGTGACGAAAAGGCGGAGAAGGATGAAGCTATGGACATCGACGAGAAGGCTATCCAAGAAGCGATTGATAATTGGGATGAATCCGTTGTTGATCCGTCACTCGAAGAGGCTCTGGGCACAAAACGGGCGGATGAGGAGAAGGAAGTCGATGAGATTTTGGAAGAAGTCAGCGACATGATTGAGACTCTGTCTTCTTACCAACGCATCCGAAACCTCAACCTTCCCAACTCGCAAAACCGCTCGTCAAGTGACCCGGTTAATGGCGATATGCTGGCTACTCCCGGACCTACTCCTTCAGAAGGCGAGCAAGCCACATATGAGATGCTCAAGGCACAGCTTGCTCTGATCATCAAGACACTACCGCCATATGCTGTCGCCAAGTTGAATGGAGACCAATTGGAGGACCTTCTCATCAGCACCAAGGTTCAAATCCAAACTGACAAGTACAAGGGAGTTATGGAGGAGGATGAGGCGGGCGTTCAGGCTCGGTTGAGAGCTCAGCAACAAGCTGCTCAGGCTAATGCCCGGCCGCCGCCTCAACGTACACCCAGTGTATCGGGAGTTTCTTATGGGCATCATACTCCCCAGACCCAGTACGCAACCCCTCAACGAACCCCCTCTATGCAACAACAGCAATACTACCGACCTGGGCCTACGCCCGGTTTCACACCTGCACCACGACCTATGCCCGCCCAACCCAGACCTCCTCAACCTAATCAGTATTCTCGACCCAACGGTTATCCTGCTCAATATGCCACACAAGTTGCTAAAGCTCAAACTCCTTATGGCCACCAAAACATGCCTCAGTATGCTTCTCAGCCAAGACCTCAGTTTGGACAGATGCAGGCTCAGCAAGGAACTCCTAATGCGCGGTTCGCTTTCCAACCAGGCTATCCACAGCAACAAGCCGCTACACCCTCACAGCCCAACTTTGGGGCTTACACTAACGGTCAAGCTGTGCCGCAGCGCACGATGTCTCCTCAGGTTAATAGACAGGCCTACAGTGCCTCGCCTAATGTGCAGCAGCCTCCACGATACGGTACGCCGAACCAGGCTGTGGGCAGTCAAATGAACAGGTACCCGAGCAACCCCCCTCAACATGGAACGCCTGCTCAGAACCCTGGACTTACAGGATATCACACCGTTATCCCTGAAGCGCAACAGCAGCGGATTCTCGAACAAGCCAAAGCCAGAGTCGCGGCTCAAGAGCGATCTACTATGTTCGCTGACAAGATCACTCAGCCTGTCACTCCTGGTTTTGGCCAAGGGGGAACTATGGATCCCAGCCGACTTGCAGCTGCGCGAGCGAGTATTGCTTCTCAGCAAAAGCCTCCGACTCCCAATTCTCAGCGATCGAGTATGAGTGGGACGCCAGGACCACCACCTCCCCACAAGGTGACTCCTGTTCCTGTCCCACCGATCCCAGGCATGCAGCAGAAGCCATTGTAATAATCGACACCATGAGTATCTTTTGGAAACGAGAGACGCGAAGCGGAAGGGGTCAGATATGATATCATCAAGGCAGACTTAGGGCACCAGAGGAGCGAGAAAGGGGTTCAGGGGAGGCGTTTAGAGGGTGGATTCGCGATTGTTTTTATTAACTAAGTTTTTCTGAGGAGTTGGTTTTTTGACTCAGCCAGGGGAAAAAAGGACGAGAGAAATATTTTTTTAGTCATTACAGGGAAGAACTAGGAATTGGTGGACTTTTCCATCGATTTGTTGACCTGGGGGTGGAAACTCCTGGTTGTGTAATCCAAGACGCCGAATTGGCGCGTGTATGCAGACGAAGACAAGGTACACTATTGCATTGATATGTTTGCGTTATGGACTTTCTTTTGTGACAGTAAAACATGTCAAGGGTTCTGGGTTGAGTGAGTATGTGTACGTCATCTATGATATGGAGAAAGATGACAACGACAGGGGCAAAAGGAACGTATAGAGTTGATTGTCAATTCTACTGAGCTGAGGGGTATCTATCAAGCCAGTCCTGGAGGCACATGTCGTATCCTCGACCTATTCCCAAACAAAAGAAGTTATACATGTAGTTTATTCATTCGGTCGTACAAAAAGTTCTAGAGATCTACATCCAGGCTGGTGATCTATGCTGGTGGTGGCACCGTAGGCTTTGCCAGTTCAGCCGCAAGCTTCCGTTCTTGTCGTTCCTGGAGCATCTCAAGGACAATGCGACGTAACTCAAAGATCACCTCGACGGCAATGAGCACGATGATGATCCATTCTAGGCGAGTGCCATGTTGCTCACTGGACATCTCGCGCAGAACACTCGCAATTTCGGCGGCGTAGTCCATCTTCTGGTTCAATGCGCGGATACGCACGTTTACATCGAGTGCACGACCAACTTGTTCATAGTAACCTTCTAGACCAAGATCGGAGCTGGTGTCCCAGAAGATATCTGGCAATGAGTCGGTGAGTTCAGAGTAATGGTTGAGACGAGCACGCAGACTGAGGAGTTCGCCTGTTTTTTGTAGGATGAACTTTCGACCGAGAGGTACACCAGCGCCTTGTGAAAGTAGTGCGGGGATGTTGCGTGTGCTTTCAAAGTACGACGTCAAAGCCGTTTCGAGAACAGCAAGTTTTGTGCTTCGAGCCAGACCCGACGAGAAAGCCACCTTTGCTAGAGTAGTGTCTAGCTTATCAGCCTCCTTGTGCTCCTTGCGAGTACCAAGAACGATAACATCGCCCTTAAGCACACTTGCTTCTCGGTTTGTATCGGTTGTGAATTCGAGATCCTCAAACTCCCGACTTTCAATGGAGTGCGCCTCTTCGGCAGCACGCATGATCTGTCTGGTAACGACATCTGGAGGCAGCGACCATGTTACGATTGTGCCAGACGGAAAGACAAAGATGTCTCCACCATTTACACCTCTTGCATGGACCACCTCGTTTGCGTCGAATCCCGTGCCATCCGGGTCAATATCAAAACCATGCGATGAGAGAATCTCGAGAACTACAGGCATCTTGAATGATTCTGCGACGCAGGTCGCGCTGACCACATTGGAGGGTTCATCGCTGGGACTTCCTGGTGCTGTTGCGCCTCGTTTGGGCTGCTGGGCAATGATGGCAACTCGACGTAATGAATTCTTGGCCGTATTCGATCGAGTTGGCTTCCTCTTTGAAGAAGCAAGACCTTTCTCTTCCTTGGAGATCTCAGAAGCGGAACGGGAACCGTCGTCGACTTGAGACAGGTAGGGATTCGAGGTGAAGAAGCTTCGCTTTCGAGGGAAGCTAGCCAAAGAGGTGAGATGGAATTGTCGATGAGGCCTCAACCGTGGCCCGGCGACTGAGGTGTGAAAGAGGCGGGCGGCATTGAGGGTGATTCGCTGGGAGGAATTCCTCATGATGTGACGACAATTATGCCATTAAAGGTGAATTTATGGTGGGTTGACTCTTTCAAAGTACTGAGAATGAACCAATGTCGAATCAAAAGAAGTTCTACTAACAAAGACATTGACATCGGGAGCGGGCCCGATGATAAGACAAGATAAGATAAGGGACTGGCTCAGTGATAAGATAGCCCACTTGGATCATCGAATTATCTGCATGTGAGAGACCACGTGATACTCCTCAACGGAATGTGGGTATGCTAGACCGCTTCGGGAGGCATCTTGGAGTGGACTTGGACACCCATGACGAAGTCCCACTAGCCACCGTAGCTTAGGGAGGGAGATCCATCTCTAGGGGAGACCAGACAAGCCCAGAAACGGTTAATTACGCTACGCTTCTCATCTCAACACCGACAGGACAGGACGACTTTAAATTCAGAGGAGGCCCCCTTGACCTGAACTCTTCATCAACCTCTTGGCGTCATTCTTGGCCTATTTTAATTCATAACCTCCGCTGTCCTCTATCCGCGCGGACTCTTTTTCTTCTTCTTCTTCTTTCTCCCCTCTTTCTCTACCCCACCATACAACATCTATCACCATGGATCTGAACCCCAAGTACGACAACTATGATTTCCCCATCAAGGGCCCTGAGAAGCAGGATGGCCACGCCGGCTACCTCACAGAGGACCAGATCGCCAAGCTTCACCAGTTCCGCATGATGCTCGAGTCCGAAGGTTGCACTGATCGATTGGACACCTTGACGCTGGTACGAGATATACCTTAACCTAGCTACCCAAGCTTGCTGGACCCTGGACAAAAAGGGCCATGCAACGCGACACAGCAAATACTGACAATGCCCTTGTCTACAGCTTCGATTCCTCCGAGCGCGCAAGTTCGATGTCGAGGCCGCCAAAGCCATGTAAGACTTTTCTACCCTTCCTTCCCATCTGATGGCGGTGGAACGAGAAATTGTGCTGGTAGCGACAGGGGGGGCTGACCGCCACTGTAGGTTCTTGGATACTGAGAAATGGCGAAAGGAGGTTAAGCTTGACGAGACTGTGCCCATCTGGGACTACCCCGAGAAGGCTGAGATCGGAAAGTACTACACTCAGTTCTACCACAAGACCGACAAGGTATGGCAAGCCGGTGATGACGAGCGAGAGCTATCATGAGAACATATGTTGACTAATGTTTTTTCTCCTCATACAGGATGGACGACCCATCTACATCGAGACCCTTGGAGGCATTGATCTGACCGCCATGTACAAGATCACCAGCGCTGATCGCATGCTCCTGAACCTCGCTGTCGAGTACGAGCGCGTGGCCGATCCGCGTCTTCCTGCCTGCTCCCGCAAGGCTGGCCACCTCCTCGAGACATGCTGCACCATCATGGACCTCAAGGGCGTTTCCATCACCAAGGTGCCCCAGGTCTACTCCTACGTCCGACAGGCCTCTGTCATCTCCCAGAACTACTACCCCGAGCGCCTCGGCAAGCTGTACATGATTAACGCCCCCTGGGGTTTCTCCACCGTCTGGAGTGTTGTCAAGGGCTGGCTCGACCCTGTCACCGTCTCCAAGATCAACATTCTCGGCTCTGGATACAAGAGTGAGCTCCTCAAGCAGATCCCCGCCGAGAACCTCCCCAAGCAGTTCGGTGGCGAGTGTGTGTGCGAAGCTGGCTGTGAGAACAGCGATGCTGGTCCTTGGCACGACCCTGAGTGGGCTCGTCCCGCCTGGTGGGAGAAGAAGCAGGATGCCAACGTCATCGAGAACAAGGGATCTGAGATTGAGGAGCCCGCAAAGGCTCCCGAGGCTGCTCCAGCTGCCGAGGGTGCTGATGCTACCCAGACTGCTCCTGCCCCTGCCCCTGCTGCCGCTTAAAGAAGAGTATATGTACCAAGGTGAAGGATATGGAAGAAAGATAGACGGGCGGGTTTGCTACGTCTTAATATAGACCACATATTTTCTCTCGTTTACCATGCTTTTTTTCAACAAATGGGGTTTGAGGGGATATCTGAGCAAAGATATACATATATGGTAAAAACACGTTGGAGGAGTGTATGGCGGAGCGTGACGTTTGTAGGGAGCACAAAAAGAATTCTTCCAACCCCCTTCTTGTTCTGCTCGGTGTATGAACATGCTCATGTGGACGTTTTATTTCGTGTGTGCCTAAAATTATCTTAGATGCCGGCTGGCCGAGGCTCCTGACTATGGTTGCAATAATTCTCAACAGCAGACGCGGTCTCGAGATTTGTGTTGCAGCATATGAAGTGATATTGCCGATTAATCCAGTCCAACCCATGCGCCCCAACTCCTTGTTCGTAATACACTGATCGCCGCCCTGGGTATATATGCAATAAAGACAAGGGATGTCTTTTATCGTCCCTGCGTAACGACATACTCGCCCGCCACGCGCGCTCTCTCCATCTTGGCCACCACGGCAGGCATATCGCGCTTCAATCTTCCCAGACCTTCGACAGCTCTTCGGAATCCTTTCTCCACGCCATCTTGTCTCTCCAGTGGTTGGACATTTAGATCCACTTCAGCGGCCTCTGCTATGACCTGCTGTTTTCGCGCTTCGAGCATATCGTCGTCGCGCTTTAAGCTATCGCGTAATTGCTCTGCTTGCGCTTCGGCCGTTGTAGCGGGTACTGAGCGTTTCAACGCTGCAACATCCTCGAGAAGTTTTTCTTCTTGTGTGATTAAATCTGCGACACGCCGACGTTTGCGCGTGTCAAAGGGTTCGTAAATGGTATCGGGCTCGACGTTTGATTCGGAGAGGAAAGAGTCTGGAGATACGGGGAGGCCGTTTATTGAAAGATTTGGAGAGGCTAGGGAGAATGTCTTGTCGATGTACTGGTTGTTTGTTAGCCTTGTGTCATAAAATAGACTGGACAAGGGATAGTACCTCGTTGACGAGCTTTTCTATCTGATTTCGCAATTCATCCTCTCCGTCATTACCCTCCACCACGGGAAATGCTTCGTTGAGACGTTCTGCGGCTGCGCGACGGACATTGGCGATGAGATATGAGAGATCCTCGGGTGTTTGCAGCTCGATCTTGCGCTGGACTTGGGCGACGACAGATTCAGAGTCCATGACTATCACTCTCCAAGAGGAGAAGAAAAATCAAGGTAAGGAATAGCTGGAAGAGAGGGGGTAGTAGAGGAAGGGTTGTGCTATCAAGGTGCTTGACGGTGAGTGCCTGCCCCGCGGCCGCGTTTAGTCAATTGTTTACTTTGACACTCCGGGCGCCGACTCGGAAACGGAAACGGAGACGGGGCTTATCTTATCGCTTACTATTCGATGTCACCTCCACCTCGACCGAGCAGAACATGAACTTGTAAATAGGCAATTTATTGTTGATTTAACTTGCTAATCGCGTTGATATCTTCATTCAACAACCTCATTATTCCATCAATCGTCCTCATATGTCGCTCCAAGCTTGTTCGCTCACGTTGTACTCTGAAATGAGAGTCCTTCTGTTGACTCCCTCTTGCTCCCGCTTACAGTAAAGCAAGATTTTGTCCATGGGGGCACCCGAGAGCTCGGCCTCAACTTCACTCATTCTGCGCGACTCTGGTAATAATGGTACCCGATAATCCAGATCACGCATTGGGGTATTCAGCTGAAAGTCATCCCCCAGGTCAACGCCGCCGTAAAAGTCCCCTTCTTCCAACTCGACCACCTTTTTGGCGACACATGCTGCGATATGCGCATCCCAGATGCCTTCCCGGTGAGGACTTGTCCTGAGAAGCTTGATTGCTTCAGCTCGGATGCGATGAACGCGACATTTGACTGCTGTGAAGTAAAGTGGCGGTATCCAGCCCATGTCGATGATGGACCTGGGCATGCAAGTCGTCATGATGTAGAGGGGCATCTCGTCCTCCAGTTCATAATGAAGCGACAGTTCCCATAACTTTGTAAGTTCTTTGATGAGTAGGATGAACTTGTCGGTACAAGTGTCGTATATGGTCTCGTTATCGCATATGCAAGTCTCAGACATAACGTTTGTCATGGCGTAGTGTATCCTCAGAATCTGGTATGCCTTTTGCAAGGATATATTTGAGCTACCAGGTCGCGCTTTCATAAAATCATGAAACATGCCATGCCATTGGGCGAGCCTTGTCTTGACGAGTTGCTGGGCTATATGCTCTGTTGCTGCTATTGTCTGTTGGCGAGCTCGGTGAGTAAGGTGGAATATCTGGTTGTAAACAAGCTCTAGCCCTTTCCAAGCATCGTTGAGGCTAGCGAAAGATTCAAGAAAACTCTTCTCGGGGCTGTGAGCTGGCTGTAGAATAACACATGAATGGTGATACAACAGTCTGAAGAGCTCAACCTGCATATGGAGCCTGGATAGGGCCTCCACTATCCAAGCATCGGTTGGATCGTGACAGGGTTTCAATGCCAAGATACCCGAATTAGCCTCGGGAAGACCCTGCATCTGCCAAAGAATGTCAAGCCCATTCTTCAGGTGAAGCTGCGCCGTGGCGAAGTGGCCCCGGAAGAACTCCAAGCAGACAAAGACAACACAAGTGATGAGCGCCACACGGCACGATTCCTTATCTTTGGCGTTGAAGTGTGGCTGCAGATGTGCAATGGCCTTGACGTACTGCTGCAGCGTAAACTGCTCCTGTTGGCTCATCTGCGAGGTGGGCAAGTTTCTATGTATGTCCAATGTCACAACACCCTTCTTGTGCGCCGAGCTGAGCGCAAGGAGGGCATGTAGCACGGCGGGTTCTCTAGACCCAGCCTGGAAGACGAGGGTGTTCCAGAAGCCAGAAGAGAAGGTGGCCGAGATCTTTGTAGAAGTGCGACACTTGAACCAGTCAAAGTAGAGCTTCTCGTTTGCGTTTAGAGAGAAGACGAGGGTTGTCTCGAGGGGAGGGCCAAGGGTGAACTTGGGGCGTGACTGGGACTGGGAATATTGTGTAAGAGCGTGTGATCCCCCGCCCCAGATTCCGTATCCGTCGCATGCTCGACCTGTTGATAGGCATCTCTGACAGGCTGGACGGCCTTCGTCACATTTGACTTTTCTCAATCTAAGTCATTAACCTCTGTTCCTCTGTTCCTCTCTCTCTCCTGTCAAGCACTCACTTGCATGTTTTACAACCTGATTTGACCTTGGATTTTCCCTTTCGAGCCATTCTATGAAACAATCTAACAAGGAAGAAAGGAATAGACGGAGTTGATTTGTCTGCTCGGAAACTTTTGGATCTGCTTGGTTGTCAATTTAAGCGGAGATGGCATTTTGACGTCCTCGAACGTGCCCCTGGAGCTTATAAGTCGGGAATATTCTTGCTGGGCCCGCGGGTTGGGGGCGCTACTGGAGGGACTACGTACTGAATGTGCCCTGCCACCCCGCGGACTACTCCGCTGACGAGATCGTCATCCCTATCTGCACTTCCCATTGGCTTGCTCGGAAACCGCGAGGTCTGATTGGCCCAAGTACCAAGTGTGAGAACCTCGGGTGTAAGAGTGCCAAGATAGTACTTATATGCAAGTTTGTCCGCTTCGGAAACTTTTGAGAGTCTCTTGTATGATGTAGTTGAGCCAGAGATAAGAGCTTAGAGGCTTTTACTATTTCATGTGTTCATTGTCAAGTCCAATTTCCGTGAAGATGCACAAAAATACCGTGATATTGGATCGTACAACAGTCGATTTTGAAGCCAGCAACTATGAATTTCATGCCGGATAACCAGTTCAACAGAGAGAATAAATCCAATCTTTAGGCTACTCGAATTCTTATCATAACGTCAGCTAGAACAGCCCCTCGATCCCCCCTTGGCAAGAATGGCCCTCTCGTCTCTCACACGGGCTTGGGCACCATAGGCTTAACGCGTCCAACACATAGAGCTATCCCTAGTTGAGATGAAATATTTGCGTTCCTTGACCATTCTTACGGGGCATGTGTGACGTTCTGGGATAGTGCTGAGTAAGTTCAAAAGTCTGACGGCATCCGAATACCAGCTAACCACATAAAAACTACTCTAACGATTGCGAGGAAATCATTGGCAAGTGGTTCAGACAAACTGCCAAACGACGTGGGGTTTTTCTTGCAACTAGATTTGGATATGATATATATATCAAGAAAGCATGTGCTAAAAGGCTACAGTTTCTGGATATTATGTTTTATCTATCTCTGTAAGTACAGAACATCAGCAGAAGCTCTAACCATAACTGATATAGACTAGGGAACGGCATCTGGGCAGAAAGATAGTGATGGCATTATTTCAGCTCCAGGAACACAGAGGGCTCAATATTTCTACGAGGATTGGGCTGCTCTTGATATAGTTCTTAGTAATGAAGAGACCGCTGAAATCGGGAGCTTTGTGGAGAAAGATTACCAGTATGTCACTGCCCCCTGCTCTTACGGTTGGCTACTCAGAGATCTAAAGGAGGAGTCTGAATGAGTTACCGAATCTAGTACCTATTTATATCGAAGAAGAATAACTCACAAGACCATATACATCAAACACCGAAAGGCCCGATATATCGGCTCAGCCTCCTCTTCACTCCGACGATTCTCGTCTCGTCAATAACCTCGTGTGCCTTTAGGATATCTAAAATCCCATATACGAAATCCTTACTATCATTACGCATCTCACCCTCTGCCAGGCTCCAGAACGGCGAGATACAAGTCATGTTCACGAGACTCTCAAACCACTCTGGGTTTACTGTACAAAGTTTTCCCCAGGCAACATAGGACGGAAGCATACGTGGGTTATTTGAATGCCGATATATCCTGCAAAAGTTGCCGCGGTGAGCTCGAATAACTTCGAAGTTTTGCCAGAGATGAGTAACTGTATCGTAAGCGGAGAGTGTCCATTGAAAGTCTCTGTCTAGATCGGGGGTCGAGACTGTGATGAAAACTTGGATGGTACACGGCGAGCACCAGGCTGGGCGGCTACTGTAGAGATGATATTCGCTAGACATAGTGACTAGTAGATTGGTGTATGTAGGAGAAAATGAGTATAGATATGCTTGAGGGACTCCTGGCATGAGAAATTTGCTTCATCTTATAGGATGAGATTCGCTGTGACCAAAGGACAAATGGATAACATGGGTTCTTTCATTAAAAGACTTTCGTTGTAGTGGTTCACGGTTCAGTGTAGCATCACTGGATTGCCCCTCACTTATTATTATTCGAGTCGATGGCCGATATAATCTGATTAAGAGGATGCATTAAGGGCAGGTGAAATCTGAATCAGGCTTCCTTCTAGTCTGTTTGTCACAAGTTAAATGATCTCAAACATCCTGATAAGTCACTCAGTGGACGCTTTATGCTCTTTACAAACGGCAACGCCCTTTCAGGCTCAATAATACCTGTATCAACGAAAATATTCAACGTCCCTATAATATACTCATGGCTACACCAAACGTCTCGAGAACTCAAACCTGGATCCGTATTGGCAAATTCTGCGTCACTAGAAGAATTTGGAGACTTATACAAAATCGATTCATACTAGCAATGCTGAACCAAGCATAATTCCCCTAGATCAAACGCCAGAATCGTCTTGGAATATACCAACAGGGTTCCAGTGATTATTCCGGTCGCCATACCAATCTTTCCACTTCTTACACCCATCGTTGACCTGCTTCAGCTTCTCCGAAGTCATCATCTTCCTCAGATCCTCTTCACTCTCCATGATCTGTAGTGCCAAACCACTTGAAGCGTGCCAGGCAATATGGCAGTGGAACAGCCAAGAGCCAGGGTTGTCAGCCTTGAAGGCAACTATAAGGTAACCTCCAGCCGGTATCAGTGCAACGTCACGTCGGGGTGGGTTGTCGAATTTGAGAGTGACGGGGTTGTTTGGGTCATTTATCTGCGAAGAATTTGTGCCTTGGGCAAGCAGGGCAAAGTCGTGCCCGTGTAGATGTAGCTATTGAATATCAGTACAATTCCAGTTGTGCAGTGGAACAAACTTACCGGATGTGCAAGAGACCTGAAGGTCTTGTTGGTGCCAATACGATCAAGCGATGGAGCCGTGATGACGAGATAGACCCAACCGTCCCTGTTCTCTGCGGGAACAATCACATAGTCGTCAGGCCATTCTTTTCTTTCCTCTAGTAGGGTGATGGTTGGGTTCGAGAAGTCCAGCCAAAGAGGTCGCTCGCCGAAAGCCCACCAGCTAAATCTGTCTCCAGCTTGTGGTCTATCCTTCACTTTTTCTATCCCAAGTTCAAGATCCTTACTCCTATCTCCTACATCTTGTTAGCAAAGGAACTCCATTCGGTTTACGTTGGCGTTGACTGACTCTCGTCAAGTTTGACAGTAGGAATTGACCATGGAAGGATGGGTTTCAAGTTCTCATACTTCTCGTCGGTGCAGTCTTTGGTCCAGTTGTCTCTCCAGGTCTGGGGTACCTCTGTGCTCACAGGCTGATATCTAAGAATACCTTGCCGCTCATCAGGCTCGTTACCATCTTCAAACCCTTTGCAGCCATCTGCTGCAACGGTACGAATCCAGTAGTTTCCGTTATCTGATGCAGGGAATTTGGTGTCGTTTCTAGGTTTGGCATGAAGAACAACGTGGTATCTTTGGCCTTGAGGCTGTTAGTTTTACATGCTACAATGATATTATATGACTTACCAATCCCGACGAGGATATGGTCTACTGTATAAGGGTGAATGGGGACAAAGTCGGAGCTCATGACCTCAAAATAATGATTATCGATACCGAACACGAACGTAGTATCAACAGATGTGTTGATGATACGAAGGAGGTATTTCTTGCCCTATAGAGGAGTAAGCATCACATAGTAATCCTTCACTCCTAGTTTTACCTTTGTTACGGTTATGTTGTAGCGTTCCCGTGGAAAGCTGCCAGCAAAGTTTCCTAAAAGTGCTCCGTAAGCATTGAACGAGATATGTAGGCCGGTATGCCTCACCAATTCCATTCATTAATATGCTATTCATCTCAGGGCGAGTAGGAACACCCGTTAGTTCTCTCTCCCACTCCTGAAAAGCACTTCGATGGTTCCAATCCGTAATAAGAATAGGATCCTTCGCTTCATCATAGTGAGCCGACGAAGGCCCAAAGATAGTTATGGGTCCTGCGAGACCGTCGGCGTATTGTAGAGAGTAGTGACTATGATACCAAGAAGAGCCATACTGAAGGGCACGAAACTCATATGTAAAGGTATCTTCGGGGGCAATGGGGCATTGTGTGACGCCGTTGACACCATCCATCTCCATGGTTCCGTTCTGCCTAATGCCATGCCAATGAACCGTGGTGCCGTTATATCGCAATTTATTTGTGACGTGGACTCTGATAAGATCACCCCAACAGGCTTTGATCCACGGGCCGGGGTAGGTTTGATTGAAGACCTTTCCATACGGATTATCGATGCCGTCGCCGTTGATGGTCTTGTTATCAACTACAAGCCAATACTGCAGATATGGATCAGTAAAAAGGGGTGAATAATGTGAGTGGTTGTGTACCTCTCGAAGCACTCCAGGCGGATACATAGTCTCATAGTCAGTATGAATACTGAAATTGTGTCCATCTGAGCTCTTCAGCCAGCAGTGGCGGTTCTCTGGAGTAGAACATGACTTCCAGTCATTTCCAAGCTCGGGATACTTGCAAATAAAGTCTTCGTCTGGTGAATCGGGGCCATTTGGTGCTGGGAACTTTGGATAATTTTGCGAGATCCGGTCATTTTCGAAAGATAGAACAGGCTGTTCAGAGTCATCTCCGATATGCTCGTGAAGTGGAAGTGAGAAGAAGGTGGCGGTGTAGACGATTAACGACTTGCACACGTTGTAGAAACCCATCTGGGGCAAATGTTGACTAATACCTCAGCGAAGTTTGGGGATATGAAATTTACGACCTACTATGAACTCTAGAGGTTGATTGAGATGGTGAATTAGAAGAATTAAATGTTCTCAGAAGGAGAGCTCCCTCCATATCAACTTTCAGAATTGGGTTTCTTGTTTCTCGCGGCGGTTCTCCTCCGGGCTTCGAGTATGTGATAAGCCATTTCACAACTTACACGATATAGAATCATCCGTTTGTAGTCTCATCACATCTCTTTTACTCACTCTGACCGAATCCCATGGCCATATTTCAGCCATGACTTGAACCTAGTTCTGTCTCAGCTGTTGAAGCTGTCCAGATCTGGTCATCAGCCGCACTCTAGCTTGAGCCACCACTGCTTTCCCCTCATTGACTGGAATGTCACACAAGAGCGTTACCATAGAGAAACGGAAGATACCCCCGCTTCTGTAGAAACACGTTCGAAGCCAGACTAGCTTGAGTTTGTCGTCCCGTCCCGTTCCGTATGAGTTAGTGAGTTATCGTTGAGGTGACGCATTCCTTTGTCTGTGAACCAGCCTCAATCGCCAGATTCATGAAGGAGTACCCAAGTGACATAGACTGAGGTCTAGACTCTGAATTGTATTCTGTTGTTGTTCTACAGTTTTTGGTGGCCAGCCAGTCTCTGTTTATTTTGACGGTTGAACGAACAAGCAGCCTGATAACGTGCTATCCCCGTGCCTGATTTGTCAGAGAAGACTATCAGCTCGTCTGATTCTCGTGCCCTGCAACGTTGTCACATTAGGTGCATTTTCTGGCCTCTAAAACACCCTTAACGTTGAGAACTCGCCACCTCATGAGTGAATATTCGTCATTATCTCGCATAGTTGGTGTGATTTCAGGCTAAAGACCAGCACGGAAGAGTGACGCGGCCTGAAGAAGTTGCTCTTCTGTGTGAAAAGATGTCTGTTCCAGCTACTAAAATCAAAGATTTGTGATTCTTGTCTTAATATTGACCTTGCAGTCGAACATAGTATCACAAGGAGTATTGTAACCGCGGAGACCTCGGCAATTCATCGTCACCGGTGCCATCCTATCCATTAGAGCTCTTTCATTGATGATCTTCAAGGCCGTGATGGAGATGCAGGAATAGTTGGGTGCAATTCATATGCACTTCTCGATGCATGGCAAACAAGGCGATCAGATTAGGTGATTTATCACGTGCTGATATGAGCAAATTGTAGTTGATGGCCAGCGTGAGGTCTGTACTAGTGTACTCAGCATGCTCACATCACAATTACACAATGGTCATATAAAGATTCGTCAAGTCATGAATTCGGATTGATAGGGCTATCTTTGAGTATCTCTTCCTTTCATATCATTCGTAGGCGCACATTCCTCGTGTCATCCTATTCAACTGCACACCCAACTCCGTTCATGTCGTTCTGTCCCAGAGACTACCTATACATTCTTATTGAAACAACAATCACCGGACCTCAACACCCCGCTAACCATTTCTCAAAACTTTTGTAACGTGGGCCCCAAGTGATGGGGCATATATGAAATTGAAGTCCTTAGATCTTGGACTTGGCGGCGGTCCAAGAGGCGATGGCGTCCATCAGAGGGGGAGACAGAGCATCATAGGACTCGAGGCCAAGATCCTTGAACTGCTGACGAACCTCGTTGGCCTTATCGGCAGGGAAGCCCTGCTCGATAATGGAAGAGACAAAGGCGGCGAACTGAGGCTCTTGCCAGCCCTTTTCATCAGAGAGCTCAACGTGGACAAAGTCGAGACCCTTGAAGGGGTGATCGTTCTCAATGCGACCAAACAGGTGGACACCGCAGTCACGGCAGGCGTTTCGCTGAATAGCAGCGCTCTTGTCAACAATAGTGAGCTTGTCACCGTTGGCAGTGACCTGGAGCTGGTCGCGGGGGATGACAGCGACGACGGAGAAGAGAGCACCCTCGGGCTTCCAGCACTTGGAGCATCCGCAGGCGTGGTTGTGAGCGACCTGACCGCTGAGGGTTACCTCGACAGGGTTGGAGGAGCACTTGCAGCGAAGCTTGCCACCAGAGAAGTTGGGAGAACCCTTGGTGATGCCGTTCTTGAGGCTGGGGTGGAGGTTGTGAGACATCTTGGAGGTGGTTACTGAACGGTAGATGGAAGTGATTACTGCAGCAGCTGATACTAGGGCGGCGGCGACGGCGATGGGAGTTTTGTTCTTGGAGATGATGTTTCGATTAGAGGACGAAGCCATTGCAAAGGGGAAATAAGAAGAGCTGGGAGGAAAGGGATGGGCAAAGACTTTATATACAACAAGATTTACGATAGACAGCCACAGGCGCCTGTGTTCAGTTATGTACTCTGATCCCCCGCAAAACAGCATGTATCAGACGGTAATTTTGACTGTATGCAGCCATAATCGGCGTAAGCGTAAGCGTCGAGACCGAGATGCCGAGTTATCACCATTGTCCTTCACTGTGTGTCTAACTGTCGCGATGGCGTTTTGCGGGGAATGGGCCACGGTTCAGGCCCCTTCAGAGACAATCGGGGCCTGGTCCAGGGTCCAGCCGACGGTCATCGGAAGCCGATTCCGTGGCCGTGCCCACTGATAACTCACCGATAAGACGGATAATGCCTGAATCTGGAAAGACAAGTGAGAGCTGAAGACGATAGATAATTGCTCTTGGAGCAGAGGCTTCTGGAAATGTCTGATACTGTGTAGCACAACGGCGGCTCAACGTCCGCAATGCAACTTATATCGAGGGGTAAGCAAAACATAAAATGATAGGACAACTTGGTCTAGACGATCGACGACCCCTCTCAGACGTCGTAATCCCAAATCTGTGCAGTGTTACTGTTACCCCATCTTCTTCTTCCTCTTCCTCTTACTCATCATCTGATCGGGATAAATATATGCGGTCCCGGTAAATACTGATGATCCCCCCGGGTCCCATCCCGAAGGCGTCTCGTCTCGTCTAGCACAGCAGGGCAATTGATACCTGGAGATAAGATGCCTTGAGATGCCCCTGGATTTAAAAACCCCCTCTAGAATTGCGTGATGGGGATGTTCGGGATTTTGGAGGCCCCGTTGTCGGAAAAGTAGTGGGATGTAGAGTTCCGAGATGCGCCGTGGCGTGGCGGCCGCGGTTAAGCTGCCAAGAGGAGGGGAATGGGTCAGTGCTGAAGAAGGGGATATACTTTTTGATGCACCGTTTTCGCAATATTTCGTAGGATGGCATCGTGTGGTTACGGCGGTGATGCCAGATGCCGATGTTAGAAGCCGATGCTGATATCTCAGTCAGACAAGATGGCAAGGGACGGACGTTGTTCGCAATCTAGCAAATGAAACATGGTAGGCTCAATGTCACTTTCTATGAAGAAGAACCTAGATAATACGCGTTTGAGGGATCGTGTCGGAAACAAGGGGAGTCCAAAACATGCGTAATCGTCTGCAGGGCGTGATTCCAAACCAGGGCAACCTATCAAATGGCGATCCCCAAAAGTAACACCGACCACCTCCTCATCATCAAACCTTCCTTCGCCCATCTACAGTGAAACAAAAGCCACGACGAATCCTTGCTAGAGCTGAACTTGGACCATGTCGTGTCCAGCGCGTAAATATGCCCTCCGCAAACCCCAAGGCCACAAGCTTCCGATCCCACGATGGCACCTCGCCCTCCCAGATGATGTCACCCATGTCTGCACCGCGTATATCGGGGTACAGGTACATTCTGATACCCAAGACGCTAATATCGCTCGAAACAAAGCTACTGATACTATTCAAGCATGGGTGAACAGCGATGCTGGGCCAGAGGCATATGAGACATTCGCGGTCATTGATGGATGTGATGTCCAAGAATCGACCATATGGGTGCTTTACTGGTCAGACAAGACCGAATATGAGAAAAGGCTCGATGACCTCTCACTGAACTCCATCCACGCTCAGCTACCGGAAACAGGCCGTGCCTCAGTGGGCATCTGGCGAGAGGCCTTCATCACAGAGCTTTCCCGCCTCGAGACCAATTACTCGGGCCTCGACTATCTCCCTGGTCTTGCAAAACTCCCTGGCGCAAGCTTTCCAGAACATGAGCTCTCAGCGTACTGGGGCGCAGCTAGAGACAGAATCCCCTCGTCTGCCTTCGATCTCTTCCCTCCATCAAAGCCGAACCTGCCAGTCACCATTCCTTCGGGTGTTGGCCAATACCTCATTGGAACAAATGATGAGAACGTAGCTCATATCCGATCGGGACAGTTTTGGGAGAACTGCGGGCAACAGGAAGCAGACTCTTACAACAAAAAGCTTGAACCCACTCTCCACTCTGGCCTGCGATATCTTTGGGATAATTCGCCCGATACAGGTGCTCTGGGACTACGATATCTCAGAAATCAAGACCCTTCAGTTGAGGAACCTCGGCTTCGAAAAGAATCATGCGGTGCTGGCTTCTTCACGAACCTCGAAGCCCTTGAAGTTTGGGCAAAGAGCCACAGGTCTCATCTGGCTATATACCGCGGTGCACTAACTCACTACAAGACCTTTGGGGATGACAGAAAATTCCGAACGTGGCATGAAGTCTCTATTCTGAGAGCAGGAGATGCCCGATTTGAGTATCTGAATTGTGTGCCTAAAACAGGTGTGATTCAAGGCGTTACTCTCAAGGCAGAGAGTATCCAGCAGAAAGTTTGACAGTGATTCATAAGCGTATTTACTCAGATTTCTAGCCGTGGCATACTGTTATATATGAATTCAACTCTGTATACCAGTACCGAAGAGTGGTGTAGTGGTATACGTCCTAGAACCTATAAACCTTCTCTAAATCCGAACCTAAAATCCTAAAAATCTCACCCTCTACACCACTCTTCGTTTTTTGCAGGTTGCAAGTTCGAATTTTCAGAAACCATTCTCTTTGTGTGAGCTATCTTGGATGTCTCAAGCTTTGGTGTTGTCGCGTCCTAGGACGTCGGTCTTGACCCATTGTTCAAACGTAGTAGGCTCCAACTGAGTCTTTAACCATGCAAGATCCGCACCATAAGGTCTCTCACCGATGAAACCAAACATTGTGTTTAGATCCTTGATCATCCAGATGATGAATCGGGTTAGAAGGCCATAAGTAACGGGTACGCCATTGCCGGTATGTTTGATGAAGATGCCATCAATGTCCTTGAAGCTCAGTTCCTCACTAGCAATCGAAAGGGCTTGATTTCGGATTTTGGTCCTATAAGGACGGACAAGACCCTCTACAGCCCATCTCCCAATGTCTTTTGTCACAGTGACTTGCATCTTCTTTCCCGCCATGTTGTCTCTCCAGCCCGTCATGCAAAGTTGGCCTGGGAAACCCCACCAAGCATTATCAGCGAACCAAGTCGGGCGAAGGATGGTGTAGTCCATCTTGGAGTTTGAGCAGGTATCGATGAGGTGCTTCTCGATGAGGAATTTGTCGGAGAATGTCTTGCAGTACGAAGGATCCTTATCACTGAGTTCTCGGCCGCCACGATCAACAGAAGAATACACAAAGTAGGGAATACCATTCCTCGCAGCAGAATCGATAAGCCCTTTTGCGTCGCTGACTTCAGTCGGTCCATGGGCTTGAGCGAGAAAGATGCCAGTTTTGGGAAGGATGGTCTTGTCCAGTTGTTGGAGAATTGCTTCAGGGTTGCTCAAGTCGCCGGCAACAATATTGATGTCGCCGTACTTCTCACGGAGTTTGACGGCTCCTGACCCAGAAGCTTGGCGAGTCAGTGCGTAGACTTGCTTTGGTTTTATTTTGATGTCGGGGTGAGTGAGGAGGGCATCGACAGTTGCGCCGCCTTGACGACCCGTTGCTCCAGCGATGAGAAAGTATTCAATGGCGGCCATGGTGGTAAGTTGCAGTGGGTTTGTGTGTGTTTGTGTGTGTTTGTGGGGGAATGAATCTACTGATCTCTCATCTTATTTATACTCTATCTAATGCACTCATATTTGATATCGTATTCTTGGAAATCCTAGATTTGGTGCAAGTCATCGATAACGTTAACACCACAAGCCTCTTCTTGCGCTGGGTGCTATCCGAGAATTGAATTACTAATATTGGCTTGTTCTAAGACCTATCATGATCTGCATAAGCCTACGGCCGAAAAAGGTTTCCGCGCGGTAAGAATAAGCTCACGATGAGGCTCGATCAGAAAGTGGAGTTACCCGCGCGGGTTGAGCCATCAAGGTCATTTAGTCTCAACGAATGACCTCAATCTTAACAATTCCCCTCGAAGAAACAGGCAGATCTTGATGACAGGAAAGTAACAGATCTTGGCTGCAACTTAATCGACGTTTCCCACGATCAACGGGCACGAAGTGGACGATGAGCTACACCAATCGTCTTACACGTTGCAGGAGATCTAACGCGCGTTAGAGATAGATAGTGCGGGAACTTGGATGTGGCACGGTTGATTTCTAAGCACAGCGCGCGGCAGCCACAGCAAATTGGGGGCGGGTGATACAGTCTATTTTGTTACTGGCTGTCGACTCCAAAATGGTTGTGTTCTGTGTAGTCTCAATTAGCCCAAGCGAGACACAAGAGTCTGTCGAATAGGCGTGTCTGTGATTCCATACGTGCTTGAATAGTTGTCAAAAACCCCATCAGCAGCCACATTCCCTCTGTCCAGTCCACATCACCCCAACTCAAACTCCATCGATGCCATTAGAAGTTCATCTCCTTGGTGAGTTCCTTCGCAGTCTCCTCCAGAAGTGACTCCAGAGCACTTTCGACGGTCGTACGCTCAATACTCTTCAACAAGACACTCCCATGCCCGCAAGTATGGGGAGTGGCCACGCCGGCAACATACAGCTCGCCGCGCTTACAAACGAAAAGCTTAGTCACTGGCATGCTAGCGTAGAGGGCGGCGACGTTCACTGGCAGGTCAGCTATGCATGAACTTACAGGTCATGAGGTTGAACTTACTCTGGATGAGCTCCTTCAAGCGTACAGCTCGCTCGACTTGGCCGGTAGTTACCATTTTGAATGTCGAAAAGTGAAGTTTGTTGTATCAGGAGACGTGATGTGACTTGATATGTCAGAATGGTCAAGGACTAGGGAATAATCTAGCAATGCTGGTGAATATCCGAGAAAGTTGACTTTGGGGAAGCTATCTCAGACGGGAATTTCACAGCTTTATATGTGTTTCTCGGATATGCTAGTCCTCTAATCCTGCTGCATGTTTGCCAGTGGCTTTCTTTGAGCTTCCATCCACGGGTAGCCTAGCCAATTATCTACTCTACACTAT